TCCAATCTAGAATGTTCATTGTAAAACTATTTATTGTATACCACTCTAACATTAATTGTTACTTGATACAGAAAATTAATTTTTCTCAGCTTCTTCCTTTTCTAGCTTGGTATCAGAGCTTCTCTAGCTCATCCCACTCGATCCTTCATGGATTCTTCAAGTGCATCCTCCACTACCTTTGTTATTTCCAACATTACACCTTTCGTCTCTGTCAAACTGAATGAAACCAACTATCTCAACTGGACTACTCAATTTATTCCCGTACTACGTAGCTATGATCTCCTGAGCATTGTTGATGGCTCAGATATCTGTCCTTCTCAATTAGTTGTTGATGATACTGGGAAAAAAACATCTGATCTCAATCCTGCCTATTTATTATGGCAGAAAAAGGATCAATTTATTTTGGCATGGTTGAATGCCACATTATTTGAGAAGGTCCTGTCTACAGTTTATGGACTAACCACATCTCGCCAAGTGTGGACTACCTTGGCAAATCGATTTGCTCCCCGTTCTCGTTCTCGAATCTCACATCTCAAGAGACAACTTCAGACTTTGAACCAAGGGTCTCGAAGCTGCTCTGACTATTTATCAACTGCTAAAAGCTGTTATGATCAACTTGCAGCAGTTGGGAAATCTGTCGATGAAGAAGATATGATCTCATATATAGTGGGAGGTCTAAATCCTGCTTATCATCCATTTATCACCTCATTGAACTTTGCAATCCGTAACACTACTATCAGCTTTGATGATTTTCAAGCTAAATTGCTTAACTATGAACAACTCCTTGAGGCACAACCCAAACCTTTTGCAACAGACAGTAGTGTTGCCTTCTTCACACAGAAGCCAAAGCAGTAGCAGCAGTACCATAAGAAAAAAAATTTCCAACAGCAACAATATTCTCAACGACAGGTTAAGTCTCCCACCAATTCCTCCATACCATCTACTCAGCGAGGTTCACAGTTTCCTAACAATCCTAAAATATTTTCTACAAATCGACAACCCTGTAAAATTTGTGGGAAAACAAGTCACCAGGCACTTGATTGTTACCAGATGATGAATTTTTCCTACCAAGGTCACCATGCTCCCTCCCAGCTAACAGCATTAGCAGCACAGACACATGCCTCTCAAAAGGTCGAACATCCATGGCATTTGGACGGTGATGCCACCAACCACATCACAGCTGATCTTGACAACTTAACACTTCAACATCAGTCATATAAAGGTGCAGATATGGTAAAAGTTGGTAATGGAGGAGGTTTGCATATCACCCATACTGGTTCTTCATTACTTTCGTCTCCAAACTCACAATTTCGCCTTAATAATATTTTAAGATGTCCTGATGCTTCTTCTAACTTATTATCAATTCAAAACTTTTGCAAAGACAATAACTGTTATTTTATTCTCACTGCCTCCTCTTTTATGATCAAGGATTTGTAGACCAAGGAGACACTCCTCCAAGGGCCGAGTGAAACAAGCTTGTACCCCATTCATTCACAGCATTTTCAGTTCAACAAGTCATCACCAACGCCTGTTTCTCCTCCCTCCTTCACTGCATTGCTAGGAGTTAAAGCACCAATCTAAGTCTGGCACTCAAGATTGGGCCATCCCTCTGAATCCACTCTTCATTACTTAGTCATTAACTCTATGTTGTCTATTTCTGGTTCTTCTAAATTTAATCAACTTTGTGAATCTTGTCAAATGGCCAAGAGTCACAAACTTCCATTTAGTGAGTCCAACACTAGGTCTACATCTCCTTTGGAATTAATCCATTCGGATTTATGGACCTCACCAGTGTCTTTTGTAAGTGGTTGCAAATTCTATGTAATTTTCGTTGGTGATTTCTCCCGCTTTGCGTGGCTATTTCCTCTACATCACAAATCTGAGGTTACTATGTGTTTTATTAAGTTTAAATGTTTGGTTGAAAATCTATTTTCCTGTAAAATAAAACAACTACAAACTGATAATGGGGGAGAATATACTTTATCCATATTCAAAAATTTTCTTGAAACACATGGTATCCTCCATCGCCTAACCTTTCTGTATACATCTGAACAAAACGGGATCTCTGAAAAAAAAAGCACCGACATATCACTGAGACTGGTCTATCTCTTCTTGCACAATCTAAACTTCCATCCCAATATTGGGTTGATGTCTTTTTAACTGCCACTTACCTTATAAATCGTCTTCCTACCCCTGTTCTTGGCAATACTTCTCCATATTTTAAATTATTCAATAAGCAACCAGATTACTCCCTTCTTAAAACTTTTGGCTACACTTGTTATCCCCTTCTACGCCCTTACACTTCTCATAAACTTCATTATCGTAGTAAAAAGTGTATTTTCCTCGGATATAGTGCCAATCAAAAGGGCTATCATTGCTTAGATCCTCATACTTATCGAGTCTACATCTAACGACATGTAGTATCTGATGAACTGAACTTTGCTGCACAAGATTCACCTGTGTTTCCTCGGCCTATAGAGAGTACTACTCCTGGTGCTGCACCCATATTAGGTATGTCTCTGCCAATCTTTGGTTCCCCTATTGATCTTTCTATTTCCCCAAATATTTCTAATCATATTCCAAATCTGGCTCCTTACCATCAATCTCCTACAGTGGTCACAACTGAATCTGAAACACCTATTAATAACCATCCTCTTGAGCTTCACTCTGCCTTATCACCTGTCTCTTTGCCTCCATCAAATTCTCCTACAATTTCTCCTTTAGAATCTGTACCTTCCCATATGATCACAAGGTCACAAACAAACTCTTTAAAACCAAAGCAGTTTCCAGACTACAAAGCTTTTTATTCTACTAAACATCCCCTTCAAGCCTACTCAACAGTCACCCTCCCTTCAGAACCTACAACTTACTCTCAAGTAGTGAAGGATCAGAATTGGTGTGAGGCTATGCAAGCTGAATTCAACGCCCTCTTAACCAATGAAACTTGGACTTTATGTCCACGACCTGCATCCAAGAAAGTTGTGAGGAACAAATGGGTATTTAAACTCAAACAAAAATCTAATGGTTCCATTGAAAGGTACTAGGCACGACTTGTAGCAAAAGGATTTGACCAAGAACTTGGCATTGACTTCAATGAGACATTTAGTCCAGTCATCAAGCATGCAACAATTCGACTTGTCCTAGCTCTTGCTGTTTATCATGACTGGTCACTTAGACAACTAGATATTTCTAATGCCTTTCTTTATGGGTTCCTTGAAGAGGAAGTGTTTATGGAGCAACCTAAGGGCTTTGAAGATCCTCAGCATCCGGATTATGTCTGTAAACTTCAGAAATCATTATATGGATTAAAACAAGCCCCTCGAGCCTGGTTCATGCGTCTCTCACATGCATTATTGGAGCTTGGTTTTGTTGGATCCAGTGTTGACATATCTTTATTTACTTTTCATCATCATAATATATGCATTCATGTTTTTATTTACGTGGATGACATCATACTCACCAGTAATTCTTCTACGGCCGTTTCTCAACTTATTTCTAATTTGAGCCATGAATTTGCAGTCAAAGATCTTGGTGAACTCTCATTTTTCTTGGGCATTCAAGTCACTCACACTACTAATGGTCTTCATCTTCATCAGGGAAAATATGTGACAGATCTTCTTCATCGTACTAAAATGGTTGTTGCTAAACCTACATCAAACCCTTGCAGTTCGGGCAGCAAACTTTCTTAAGTTTTCTGGTGAACCTCTACACGATCCAACGGGGTATCGAACAATGGTAGGTGCTT